TAAATTTTGATCCCAAAGGCTTTATTTTTGTAAGCTTTTGTTTCTTTGGATCCTAGGGAGGATGTTTTGAGTTTCTATATGGTGTTTTAATATTTTGAGTGGATAATTGGATGAAAAAAGGTGTTTTGGGCATAAATCAAACCCTAAAAGGTTGGGTTTTTCTCTTCAATGATTTAAGTCTATTGATTTAGATAAAATTTTGTCATTTGAGCCTAATAAGATTTAAATTAAGGTTTGGTTTTCATTATAAGGGCTAACGGTGAAAGTTGATGACATTAAGTGAAGGTTTTTAATTGATTAAAAATTATATAAATTGGAAATTAGCCTAATGATGGCTAATAAAAGGTTTTGGTGGTTAAGTGATACTATGTGAATGATTGGTTTAATATATGAACCATTAGGATGGATTATGACTCATTTACTCAAGTTGTGTAATATGAGTTATAGTCTTCATTAATGCTATTTGTCATGATAAGTGATGTGGATCACTTATAAGTTATAGGGATTGTTGGTTGAATTTATTCGGAAGTTAAGGAATAAGTCGAGTCCTATTTTGTACAAGAGGAACCCTTTTGGTACCAAAGGGTTAAGGTAACAGGAGAATTTATATTTTTTATTAACTTGTTTTAGCTATTTTTGAATAAATATTATTAGCTATCATGCATTACATGTTTTAAAAGATTAAATGTGCTTTATAAGGGGTTATGGGGTATTACTTTGATTATAGTGCAAATATGTTTTTTTTTAATTGTTTAACAACAATGTTTTTATGGAAACGAGATTTGTTTACATGTATTGTAATCATAAGGAATAGAAGTTGCACTTAAGAAAGTGTAACTAAGTAAGGTACCTTAGATAGGCTAAGGAACCATTTAAAAGAGATTTATAAATGTTATACTACCTTAAAGTGTTAAAGTGGTCAATACTCGAGAAAGGTAGACATGAATAAAAGGCATGATCTCGGTGGGAGTTTACCAATGAGAAGGTGTGGACTTTTGATATTCTATGGTACACTGCCAGTACTCAGTGTTGCCTTACGTATTGTGGGCTCAGTGTACTAAAGTAGTTAGCGTATTGAGTGTTTGACACCTCTCAGTGGGAGAGGGAATCCGATATATGAAGTGTGAGGTTGAGTGCCTAAGCTAAGGTAGCCCTCACATGGAGAGTAAGTCAGGCTAGCTCTGGGAGGGACTTAGCTTTGACTGCTCAGGATTTGCGTCGAAGGGGCATAGGCGGTTCGGTGGATTAGATCATGCCTTAGATTATGTTTTGTGCCTGTGGAGGTATAAGTAGGTATAAGGTTTACCTGTGAGTTAAAGAGTGTCGGGGGCATTCTATTGGTCATGAAAGGCCATACTAGCCTTTGTCATGCATTCATACATTTTAAATGGCTAAACTATATATTATGTTAAATTTATTATTCGTTTATTCGATTATGGCTTACTTTATAATAATCAATGTAGATTTCTCTGTTACTGAGACTGTGGTTGTCTTACCCTTTTTTTTTTCAATATTTCCAGGTCCAGGTGAAGGAAACAGTGGAGGACGGGGAAAGGAGCATAGCTAGGGGTTGTTTGTAAATTGTAAAGAAATGCAACCCCTTTCTTTTGAGCAAATCTATTGTAATGTATTTAGGATTAGGGTGCCAATATGATATGATTATGTATATGTGTGTGAGTATGTGTAGATTGTATGGCTTGTGTATGAATTTTTGTTTTCTTATAGACTTGTGGCTAGGAAACTTGGGTATAGTGTTTGGTTTTAATGGATTTATTTAGTAGACTAAGTTTCCACTACAAGGAGATATTTATTTTGTTATATATGTGATTCTACAAGCAAATGCAAAGTGGTTGCATTGTAAATGGTGTGCTATAGGCAAACATACACCTTGGATAGAGAGAATGGGTGCATAGGCCCCACAGAGATCTTTGAGCTAGGTGAAAATGTTTAGCATGTGTATTCATATGTGTATATGATATTTGGATTGATTTTTGACCACTCTTGTATAATTTGTGAATTTTAGGGACTTAGGGTCCATTTTGGAAAATGACACCCAGGTAGTTAAATTTTGATATAAAGGGTTTTTCTATTATTTAAATGTTCTATCAGGTGTTTTTAGTCCTATTTGACGTGTCCAAAGTGTTTTCATAAGTTTGTGACCATTAGGATGAGTTTTGGATAATTTTGAAAATGGTTTTTACCAAAAAAATTACACTTTTGCATCTGGTGTCGAAATCTTAATCCGACCGTTGGATTTCTCTAAAATTTGGGTCACAAGTAAAACCTTTTATAAGCTTCTTGTAGGCTTTAGAATCACATTGATCGGATACCGGACGAAGAAACAGCACACTCCAGAATTTGGTCCAGAGGAGTTGTCATGACAGCAACATTGATAATGTTGCAACATGCACGAAATTCAATCCTTCCATTGGATCTTTCCAAAATTTGGTATGCTAATAGTAATATTTAAAAGTGATATTTGGGCTTTGGAATCACTCTAATTGGAGGTTGGATGATGAAATGGTATACCCCAAAAGTTAGTCTGGAGGTGCGTAGCTGTCATGACAGCAAAAATGACCAAATTTTTTAACATGTCTAATTTTTAATCCGACCGTTAGATCTTTTTAAAATTTAGTACACTTATAGTACCTTTTGAATTTAACGTGTGAGCTTTAAAATTACTTCAATTGGAGGCCATATGGTGAATTGGCACCTCTCAAAAATTTGTTTGGGAGGGCTGTCATGACAGCAAAATTAATGCTGTCATGACATCAGTTAACTGCCCCTATTTGTCTTATTTGCTTCCGTGCGCTACATATTAATCCTTTATACTTTTCTAAGAGGTTTTATACGTATGTTTTTCTATTATGTAAATTGTTATTGATTTAAATGATTTGTTTTCTAAGTTGGTTTTAGGATTAACTCTTTAACCACACTTAGTTTCTTTGAATTGTGTGATTTTTGGATAACACTCAGGGCAAGTGTTACAAGTGCTTTCCAAAAAGCACTCCTATATATCAAGGCTAAAAATATGTTGGCCAGGCACATACGGGAGCCCTCAGTTGAAGAGCGCTCCTGTATGTCCCTCTACGGGAGCGCTTTTAGAATGAGTGCTCCTATATGTTCAAATCGTGATATGACAAAATCTCTTTCAGCACCCCATATAATCTTACAATCTCTTGAATATAGACCTCTGCAAGCTTCTTTAGAGTGTAATCAGCTCTAATAGCTAAGAAATGAGCAGACTTGGTCAATCTATCTATAATTACCTAAATAGCATCAGGATTTGCTTGGGTACATGGCAATCCCATAATGAAATCCATAAAAACACAATCCTATTTCCACATGGAAATCTCTAATGATTGTAGCAATCTTGAGGGTCTCTGGTGTTCAATCTTTACCTTCTGACAAGTCAGACATCGGGATACGTACTCTGTCACATCCCTCTTTATACCAAGCCACTACCACTGACTCTTCATGTCTTGATATATCTTGGTAGTTCTAGGATGAATGGTAAACTTACTCCGATAAGCTTAAGCTAAAATAGTCTCTCAAACCCCTTTATCATTGGGTACACATACTCGGTCTCTATACACTACCAACCCATCATCATTGAACTAAAAGTCCTTGGCCTTGTTTGCCTCACTATCATCTAATCCCCAGTAGATACTTGTCTTCAAGCTGAGCTTTTCTTAAGTCTTTCCAGAATTTATTAGTAATTATCATTGTATTCAAGTTATACACAGCAAAATCTAGGCTGCTCTGGTGTTCACTAAAGAAATCCTCTAGTAGCTTGTACTCATAGATCATTAACCTCACCATATGTAAGGTCTTATGACTTAAAGCATCAGCCATTACATTGGCCTTCCCCGGATGTTACTTCAACTCGAAGTTGTAATCTTTTAAAAATTCCATCCACCTTTGCTATTGCATATTCAACTCCTTTTGATCAATTAAGTACTTGAGGCTCTTATGGTCACTGAATACCTCGAACTGTGAACCATAGAGATAGTGCCTCCATATTTTCAAAGCAAATACAACTGTCGCTAACTCAAGGTTATGAGTTGGATAACTCTATTTATGCAGTCTCAGCCGTCTCAACATGTAAGCCACAACTCTGTCATCTTGTATTAGCACACAACCTAGTCCTTTAAGTGATGCATTAATGTAAACCATATATGGCCATTTGGGATCTGGAATAGTTAAAACTAGCACTATAATCAACTTCTCCTTCAGAGTTTGAAATGCCTCTTCACACTTTTATGTCCAGACAAATAGTTGATCCTTCTTCATTTGCTTCGTCAAAACAGAAGCAATCTAAGAGAACCCTTGGATGAATCTCAGATAATAACCAGCAAAACTCAAGAAACTTCTTATCTCAGTTACTAACATTGGTCTCTCCCACTGTAGGACTGCGTTAACTTTATGTAGATCTATTGTTATGTCGTTAGCAAAAACGACATGTCCCAAAAATTTCACTTCTCGTAGCCAAAACTCATAGTTGCTCAGTTTGGCATACAACATATGCTGTTTTAACACTTACAACACTATCCTCAGATGCCTTGCATGTTCTTCCTCATTTTTGAGTATATCAGGATGTCATCAATGAAAACTACTATAAATTTATCTAAGTAGGGTTTGAAAATCCTATTCATGAAGTCCATAAAGATTGCAGGAGCATTTGTCAAACCGAAGGGCATTACTAAGAACTCATAGTGCCTGTGTCATGTCCTAAACACAGTCTTAGGCATATCATCTGCCTTAACCCTCAATTGGTAATATCCAGACCTCAAGTCAATTTTAGAGAAAACTGCAGCTCTGATAAGTTAGTCAAGTAAGTCATCAATTCGTGATAATGGATACTTATTCTTAATTGTCACCTTGTTGAGTTGCCTACAGTCAATGCACAACCTCACATTCCCATCTTTCTTCTTTATAAACAACACAAGTGATCCCCATGGTGATACACTCAGTCAAATGAATCCCTTCTCAAGCAACTCTTATAATTGCTTCTTTAATTCTTCCAATTCTACAGGAGCCATGCGATATGGAGCCTTAGAGATTGGCTCAGTATTAGGCACCAAATCAATGAAGAATTCAATCTCTCTTTCTGATGGCAATCTTGACACTCGATCATCAAACACCTCTGGGAACTCATTCACTACATCAATTCTGTCAATTCCCCTGTCGTACACTTCATGTGTAGAACAGTAGATCATGAAAGCCTGACAACCCTCTTTCACTAACTTCTCTACTTGTTGGGTTGACAAGAACTTGGGAGTCTCACAATCCACTACTAATAATGACTTGACAGTTTCAGGGTTAATAGCTATCGCTGTGTAAATTAGTAGGGAAACTACCTTTCTATTACATCAAGTGTCGCACCATTGGCAAAAAACCAATCCATCTCTATTATCACATCAATGCCACTCAAAGGTAAGCAGATTAAGTCAATAATAATGACTCTATCACTAAACTTCAACTCTAGTTTTAAAGAAGTCCGACTGGTCCTCACAGATGCACCAACTAGTGTAGACACATTAATGGAAAATGGCATTTCAAGCATATGCAAGTTTAGTCTTTTGGCATAATCATTAGATACAAAAGAGTGTGTGGCACTAGAATCAAACAAAGCATCTATCTGGTAACCACAAAGTGAGATTATACCTCTAATTAGCTTTGGTGAAGCCTCAGCCTCTTCTCTGGTCATAGCGAAAACTCATCCTAGGATAGCGAATCTCGAATCAGGAGCAAGTACGTTCTCTAGGCAAAACTTGGCTATGTGTCCCATTTTGTTGCATTTGAAGCAAACCCAACATTGCCCTTAGTGATGTTTCCCAAATCTATAGCACTGTGAAACTCTAGCTGGCATTATAGCAGATGGAGCTGTAGATCCCTGCTGAGATGTTTAATTTTTAACCCCACCCATACTCCTCGGGGTATTGCTCTTCTGGTTGGATCCCCTAGATTAGGACCCCTTCTGGAAGCTCTTCTTCTTGCTTCCTCCAGTACTGTACCTCCTAAATATACTCGAGTTAAGACCTGACTTCTTGCTCACTCCACCCATAGGGCCTGTATAGGAAGAGAATCTCCTTTGACCATCTCTCTTCTCCTCCTCCACCACTCTACTCCTTCTAACTAGAGCTTTGAACTTATTGCACATAACCTCGAAGGAGGTAATGTCAAAGGCAGCTAACTGCTGGTTGAACTCAAGCCTCATCTTATCAAGAAATCACTTAGCCTTTCAATACTCATCATCATGATAACTCAAATAGGTAGAGTACTTTAATAGCTCATTGAAGTTTGCTATAAACTCCTCCTCATTCATATTTCCCTGTTGGAGCCTGTGAAATTCTGCCTCTTTCTCTGCTTGAAATGAGGCTGGAAAATAGTGGGTGAAGAACTGCCTCTTAAACTCTATCCATGTCAACTGCAAGCCATCCATCAGCCTCATACTTTCTTACCATTGCTTCATTGCGTCTTCGAGCATAAATGTGGCTAAGAGAACCCTCTGCTCAGTCGTAAAAAAAAGGTTATGACTGAGAAGATGGTCTCAAGCCTGTTGATCTATTTCTCGGCTACTCGATCCTCCATAGACTCCTCAAAAGAAGGAGGGTTCAGCCTTGTGAACTACTTCAAAGCCATATCTATAGAGCCTCCTGACTCACTCATCCTAGGCCACACCAATCACAACAGCCTCTCAGGAATGCTTTCCTCATAATACTCTTCATCTCTATGTCCATACACCTCAACTTGCATATCATTCCAGTTTTCCTCTTGGTCAACCCCAATTCTCTCTACAATTTTACAGCTCTCCCCAGGTCTTTTTTTGAGGATCTCATCATAACCATCCATCCTCCTCTGGATGTCCATCATCATATGCCTCAGTTCATCCAGGGCATGTCTTTATTACCCTGTTGAGGTCCTGGTTATTGCTCTTAGTTTACTAGTTCTTGTTCCAATCTTTGCATATTCTCTAGTGCATTTCCAACATTAATAGCTCTTGTTTGCACTATATTCTCCCCTTCTAAGGATGGAAGCAATCCCAAAAAGGAAGAAGGGAGTTAGTACTAGCTCAGTGAGGGAAATAACAAGTGTAATAGGATATTGATAATTCTTTATATGCAATGCATAACAAATCTTAATCACAAATTCACACAAACCATAGACCAGCTCTCAGAACTAGAGAAACTGATACTAAGTTTATAATATTCTCACTCTACTAAACACAATTAACCAATATAACACCTGATAATTGGAGACTTAACTCAAAAGGATGATTTCCAATGTTTAATTTACAAGTAAGGGATCCCAAGTTTTTTAAATAAAAGTGAGTTTAAATCAATCAAAATCTTTCATATCAGAGTAGAAATAAGATACAGAAGCATGGGATACCTTAGAGGAGTAAAAGAAGTAAAAAATGATTGAAAAAAAAATATGTACTGTGAAACAAGGCAATGTGCCACGGCTCGTGCACGTTACAGCGCGACATGTTGTTCTATGTGCCTGTTGCTCACCGTAAGTGTACAGATCGTAGCAAGTAATATAATGAAAGTAAAGTATGGTTCCTTCGAGGATTTGTTCAAAAACAATGATCAAGCAAAAGACTAAGTAAATTTGATCAAGTTGAGCTACACAAAGTTAGGTGAAAATGATTTTGTAAATGAAACTAACACTAGAAAATTAAGAAAGTGAGTGATTCACAAACTTCCAACACAAATTGAGACTTAGGATTAATTGTCCCCCTTGCATTTCATAACACCAAAATTACCTCCTCTCATAAATGCTTTTAATGAAAATAAGTGCTAACCTAGGGTTCTAAAAATACTTGGACAAGCTCTCTCAAGTCATGAACAAGTGTTTAGTTAAATTAATTGCCCAATCTCTTGTTACAATTAATGAAACTCAATTTTAAACACCAACACTAATGTGGCTATGCAAGGCTAGCAAGTATATCTCTATCATACTAGCAAAACCATCCATTTAACATGTAAATATCAAGTTCTTATACAATTTTACCCAAGTTCTACACTCAACCTAGCCCTCTCAAGCATCAATTAAGTGAACCCAACATCTAAATGGTGGCCAATCTAGTAGAAGCATTAAGGAAAGAGTAAAATAAATACATATATATCATTAATCACAAAAAGAGAGGAGAAATATAGTGTTAATCCATACAAGGGTTTCAAATAATCCTAGAACAAAGGGTTTAGCTACTCATAATCATCCACAAGCTACAAATATACAAAATAAGTGGACCCATTCAGATTGCAAGAGAGGAAAGGGAAGAGGAATAGAAAAACCAAAGAAAATGAGCTCCAAATGCCTTCAAAGCTTCAATCTCTTGATCCCAACTCTTCCAATGCCCAAACCCTAGCACAACCAAGTTCCAAAAGTGTCTAAAAGTCTGAAGAATGCATTCTGGGTCGAGCTCTCAGCTTATATGTATCCTAGCCAACTAATTTTTGATAAATGAAACACAGTGTCTAAAAGTCACGACTTTGGGATGACTTTGGCAGTTTTGCACGGTTTTTACAGCTAACGAAAATTATTCATTTTGCTCTTGATTTTTTCATCCAAAAGCCTTCCATAAATATCCACAAAGCTCCAAAAATGCTTCTAATTAAAACTTCAATCAAAATAACATGAAATTAGGCTAAAAATATCAAATTAAAGCTAAGAACACAAGCCCAAAACAAAATGCACATTTTCCTAATTTGGGCAATAAAAACATATACAATTGATCCAAAATGAATTAGAATCTAAGAAAAATGTGATGAAATAACATGAACTTCTAGAGGTTAACAGTGCCACATGCCACAACTCAGGTGCCATGCATCACAGCGTGTTGCATGAAATTTTAATTGATTCTACTGTCATTTGACAGTAGAATCGAGGAACTTCTAACTTGCTCCGATTCTCTGTCCGATATCTGAATGACATGACCTAGGTGTCTACGGAAAGCTCTTTACATGAACTAGCTAATTGCATAGGTTTCACTTCTAAAAACAAGTCACACTAGGAAGTTGGACACCTAAACACATTTTAAACCACTTTTCAACATAAAAAGGGTGTCTAAAACCTTCAACATATGCCAAAAGCCTTTCCTAACACCTAGACCATATCTAATGGACCTAAGACTACCAGTACAACACATCACAAGTACTAAAAACATCAATATGATAAAAATTCACCCTCAACCCCAAATTACTAAAACAGAGGGGGAGGTAATTTGTCATTGCATATTGCCCAAATCATTCAAAACATGTTCAAATTATTATATCTATACTTGCACTATTATTTTGGACCTATAAACATACAAATCATATATATCAACATACAAAAAGACTAAGGGCCCAAAATACAAATATAACATTTTTAACAACAAAATAGTGTAAGTGTGATGGCATGCATTCAAGAATTGACAAATCATATACTATTACACAATTAAATCTAAACTAGAGGCATACAATAGGAATATGCTAATTCCCTGCCTCTTTAGCCTTCTCCTCTTAACACTAGAGCTAGAGCTTAAAAAATGTTAAATAAAAGGGGTAACTAAGGTTAAACCTACCCTATGTAGTTATAAATCAATTATAAATCAAATACATGCATAAGGAACCAAGTATGTAAAACAAACTCATATATGCCATAAATTGTCATTTACCATTAAGTAATTTCTTTATTTCTCATAAACTAGGTACATTGTCACCATATTCTCAGATATGTGACATGAACCATACTCATGCGACTTGCCACCACTTAACATGTGTGACACATCATATATTTACTTAGGCAATGATCAACCAACCTTATATCCTCCTTATTTTCTTAGACAAAAAATGTGGGCTATAATACTGATTAGGGCTCCGTCCGTGTGATTGGATTACCCAAGCTCATTAACCGTGAGGTGTGACCCGGCCAAAGATCACAAGACTCACTCTCAGACCATGGTTTCTCCCATTCTCATCCCTGGGGTGTCTCATACCCTAGGCTATTCTCGTCATTGAACCAGTGGAGATAGCTAGGTTCTAGTATCTCAACAAACTATAGGATAGTCCCTCGATAAATTATGAGACAAGGCTATACCCTCATGCATGGAGGCCAGCCTAAATACTATATGGATTTTCTCTACTCCTAATCCATAGACGAACTCCCACCACTAATTATGTCATAATCAATACTCACTTATATTAACATTTTCACTATCATTTACTCTTTATCACAACAATCACGTTGGGCTCACAATTATGTGCTACCCAAGTGTGTATTCTCTTCATCTTCTCAAAATCCATTTTTCACAAACACACATCAATCTCACATAGTCAACACATTCATTTTTCAAAAATATAAGTATGTTCATAGTTTAAAAACTCTCTTGGCTTGACATTTTGCATTTAAGCTAAAATAGCATTATGCTCAATTAAATTTTCATATACTTAATAGAACACACACATATATATATAGTTTCACATTGAGAATCAATTCCATGCATATAACATTCATAAATCACATTTAACAATCAATTACAAGCAATTAACATACAACTACCTAAAGTAAGGTTTCCCAGGTTATCCCAAACCTTTGAGAGGTCAAAAGTCTATCCCTTGATCTACTAGCTTCCAAGCTTGAATTTCCAACCTAAAAGGTGACCAAGAGCCAAGTACTACAATCAACCAAGTTGAATTTCCAACCTAAAAGGTGACCAAGAGCCAAGTACTACAATCAACCAAGTTGAATTTCATCACCATTACTATATCAAGCATTTAAACCTTCAATCTCCAATTTTAAATTGTCCAACATTTACTCTATATGAGTTGGAGCCTATCTATTAGATTTAATAATTACCTTTAGTCCTCAATAACATTAATGAGCCATTAAATTTCCATTAATGGCATCACAATCTTCTAACCACCCATAATAAATGAGATTTTTGGATATTAATGGGGCCCAACAATCCAAGACATCAAAACTCATTATACCTAGGTTTAGATACTCTAATCTACTCTCATTAACTTCATTTGAGTCAATAAATTTAGACCCATAACCTATATGGACCGAAATTCTACTTCCACTATCAAACCCTAACCATAAACTCATAAATGTGAAAGAAATGAAGAGATTAATGAGTGTGATACTTACCTTAGGTGTTTATAGCCTTCAATATACTCCTAATTTCATCCACAAGTAAACTCTAGCAAAGCTTGGCGCGTCTCTTCATTTTCTCTTCTCTTTCTCTCTATTTCTATCTCATTTCATGTTTAATAAACTGCTGAAAGTGGCCATGCACCACGGCGGATGCATAATGCACCGTGGTGCATGGCACAGAGAGGTCTTCCTAGCTTTAGAGGCATCTGTGCACCATGGTGGACAATCTCCATGCTGCGACATATGGCATAGCAAACATTAACTCTTCCTCTTCTTCTCCTTTTGATACCCGGGTGACCCGCCTTGATATCGAACTCACAACTAGGGCTAAAATACCATCAAATATGATAGTAGACCTCCCTGGCCACACACCACATTAACTTATTTAATTACCCTAATTAGGTTTAATTAATCAGGGGACTAAAACTAGGGGTGTTACAGTAAGAGGATTCAACTTGATAAAATCATTCAATTTTGTTATAATAGTCTCTTCTTTAATAGCACTATTAGTTCCTCTCCTATACCATGTGTAGATGAGAAAGCACCCTCATGAGACTCAGGCTTTGAAGGCTTGATCTCAGATAAAATCTTATAAATATACCAATGAGGTAGACTACCCCTAATTTTGGCTCGTCTATGACCTTGCCTCGACTACTAAAGAGCAATTCATCTTGTAGAGCAAAAGAACAATAAGATGCTTCACTACTACACAA